AAATACCAACAATAAGAAACTGGTTTAAACGACAAAAAGAAGAATATTATGTAGTAAGTCAAAGAGAACATATCATAGATTGCAAATACACCAAAGGAAAGGCTAAAATACCAATAATAAACAAACGAATAATAAATAAAGAAATACAAGATATTAAGGCTAAAAATCCAATTAAATATGTACATTTAGGAGGAACAGAAATACTAATAAAAGCATGTTTTAGAGAAGGAATAGATACACCCATAGAAATATACTTAGCGGATGATAGAATCATACAACCTATAGAAAAAAGTATAATAAGTGCAATAAAAGGTAACCTCATATAATTATCTTAAGCTAAAATTGGGATTGCGAAAACTGAAACCTAGACAAGTCGCCGCCGCCGTTTACCTTATCACTATTTCTGGTGGTTATGACCACCAATTCACCTGGTCAACCCCTCTTGGGGATAGGCCACACTGAAACAACGATTGAACCAGAGCAAAAAAGGAAATATGCTGCAGTTTTACGCCCCCCAACACGAATAGATAAACCTATCTCATATTTACACGGGGAACCTAGAATAGTTTGGGAGGAGGAGGAAGTCGAAAATATGATCATTAAGGAGAATTTGAAATTTGTTGTCATAGGCAAATTCTCATATGGCTGGCCGGAGATTCAAAATTTTGAAAATTGATTCCAAAACAATGTGAAATGAGGGGGGAATGCAACATTGGTTTATTAAGCAATAGATATGTACTCATTAGGACCTCATGTTTGGAAGACTATGTGAGTCTACTATCCAAAACTACTTATTATTTATCACATCGGGGATGGTCCTACCCAATGCGAACTCTGAAGTGGGATCCTACGTTTGACCCGGAAAAGGAAGCTGCGGTGGGGAAACCATTACAGGTAGATCTGGCTACGAAGAATCAAACTAGTCCTAGTTGTGCAAGGGTTAAAGTGGAGGTGGATCTTTTAGGTGAATTTCCTAAGAGAATTAATGTGGGCGTACGAAAACAATCTGGGGAAGTGGTGGAAAAATGGATCCGTATTAAATATGATTATGTTTCGAAGTATTGTAAAAATTGCAGTATTCAGGGACATAATGAACAAGAATTCTATATAATACATCCAGAGTTATACCCAAAGAAGGAAGGGAATGAGGTTGAAGAATGCTCTGGAGGTAAGGGGGATACATACAAGAAACAGCTGGCAGAGCATCCTGTGGAGAGAAGGGAAACAGTACAAAACATTGATGAGGTTGTATTCCAGGAACAGAAAAAGAAAAAGGGTGGCTGGGAAAGGAAGACGGGACAAAATAAATTCCAAGTGTGGTATCCAAAACACAGTCAAAAGGAGAGGGCGGACGAGAACACGTGGAATATGTTTGACGCTTTGGGCAGGATAGATAATGAGGAGGATGTTGATCCTCTACAAAGGGAGGGTAATAAGGAAACCAATATGGGAAATGAGGTTGGTTCAACAAAAAAATGGGTGGTGGAAGTTTTCAACGAAAAAGAGAGGACTGAAGAAAGTGATAGTATTAAAAGAAAACAAGGAGGACAGACGGGGTCTAGAAAAGGAAATACAATAAATGATATTGAGGCCTTAGACACTTCTCTGACAGTAGACAAGGCATACAATGCTGAAGTGGGGAGAGAGAACACGAGCAGTAAAGTGGGGAATATAGGGGAAGGTGTACCAGAAGGTTTGGAAAATGAAGGAAGTTCAAGTTTCTTTGAGAATGGGATAAATGATTTACAAGAACATAATAATGAAGAAATACAGCATAGACGTGATACAGAAGAGGATGGGGAAGTGAATGGGAATATTGATACAATAGCAAGGGAGGGAGATCTTTCACCAAGACAAATAAGTAATTTAAAGAGCGGAGTAAAGAAGACTGTCCCCTATCTCCCTCTTCAAGTTAAAAAAAGGAGCAATAAGGATACTTCTGGGGTGTTTCTCAATGATTGAGAAGGCACTTTTTTGGAATATCAGGTCGGTTAGGTCTCACAAGGCCTTAGATAGACTAATAGATCTAAACAAAAGACATTGTTACAAATATATAGCTTTGATGGAACCTTTTCAAGGGCCACATGAGTTAGAACAATATAAAAGGAGATTGGGCTTTCAAAATGCTTTTTGTAACTGTTCAGCCAAGATATGGATATTCTGGGATGAGGATTGGACATGGGAGGTGGTAAGAGATAACGTTCAACATCTATCAGTGAGGTTTGAAGCTGGAAGTGTTAAGTTCATGGTTACAGCAGTTTATGCAAGGTGCGATGCTTTGGAGAGGTTAGAACTGTGGGAGGAGCTGGAGGGTCTGGCCAAACAAAATCAGTATCCATGGCTTGTTGGAGGGGATTTTAATGTTATTTTGAATGAAGAAAAAAAGCAAGGGGGAAGGGAGTTTTCAATTTATGAAGCGATGGATTTTCAACAGTGTATGAATATTTGTGCATTGTGAGAGGTTAGAGCTTCGGGGAGTAAATTCACCTGGTGGAATGGCAGAGTAGAAAGAAATTGCATTTTCAAAAGGTTGGATAGGGTGTTATGCAATCAGGAATTTGAACAATTTTTTCCTAGTAGCAAAGTACAACACTTGATAAGGCAAGGATCTGATCATGCACCTCTACATTTGACGTGTAAGTCGGAGGAGGAATCCATAATTCGGTCGTTTAAGTTTCTTAATTTTTGGACGAAACATCCAAAATTCAAAACAATAGTGGAGGAGAATTGGAAGGTGGATTTTAAAGGTTCACCATTCTTGGAATTTCAAGCAAAGGTTAAAAAGGTCAAACAAGCTTTGACATGTTGGAGTAAAGAGACTTTTGGGGACATTTTCCAGCAAGTTCAGAGGTTAGAGGAAGAAATTAGAATGAAAGAGATGCAGCTGGAGATTAACCCGTCACCTCGAAATAGAGAGGAATTAAACAAAACAGAAGCAGAATTGAAAAAGCATAGGCTCATGGAGGAGGAGTTTTGGAAACAGAAGTCGGGAATGAGATGGTTCAAAGATGGAGATAGAAATACAAAGTTTTTTCACAATTATGTGAAAGGGAGGAGACGAAAATTGTTCATTTCTGAAATCCCTACTACTCAAGGGGATACAGTGACTGGGAATGAGAATATTGGGATGGAGGCAGTGTCATTTTTCGAAGATCAATTTAAGGAAACAAACACAAGTGTTGATGATAGCATGCTTGATTTGATTCCGAAAATTATCACTAGGAACAAAATGAGGCAATGGGAAGAATGCCAAATATGGAGGAAGTGAGGGAGGCTGTCTTTGCACTTAATGGTGATAGCACAAGCGGTCCAGATGGATTTTTGGGGGAATTTTTCCAGAGCAGTTGGCAAATTGTGGGGGAAGATACAACAAGGATGGTACGGGCTTTCTTTTGTGGGCATGAGTTGCCTAGATTTATCACACATACGAATGTAGTACTATTGCCAAAAAATTAGAAGCCAAGAAGTTTTGTTGATATGAGACCAGTAAGTCTTAGTACTTTTGTTAATAAAATTATCTCAAGACTGATCCATCAAAGAATAACGAAATGGTTACCAAATCTCATATCTCGAAATCAGTCCAGTTTTGTGAAAGGGAGGAGTATAACAGAGAATGTTTTGTTAGCCCAGGAGATAATACGGGACATTAACATAAGAAAGAAATTTCAGAATGTGGTGGTGAAACTTGACATGGCCAAAGCATATGATAGAGTGTCATGGTTTTTTTTAACCAAAGTACTAAGGAGATTTGGTTTCTCGGAATTGATCATTGATATGGTATGGAGACTGATATCTAACAACTGGTACTCAATTTTGGTGAATGGGCAGTCATATGGGTTCTTTAAGTTAACGAGGGAATTAAAGCAAACGGATCCTTTATCCCCTACTTTGTTTATCATTGCAACAGAGGTTTTGACGAGGGGTTTTAATAAGCTTCATGAAGATAAGGAATTTAAAGGATATGGCATGCCTAAATGGAGCCCTCCTATAAACCATTTATCTTATGCGGATGACACCATATTATTTTGTTCAGGGGAGAAGGAATCTATTAAGATGATGATGGGAATACTAAGGGAATATGAGAAGATTTTTGGCCAGCTGATAAATCTCAATAAGAGTTCATTTTATCTACATGATAATACACCCGTGATAGTAGCAGTGAGATTAAGGAAAATTACTGGGATTAGACAAGGAAACTTCCCTTTCACATATTTGGGGTGCCCGGTGTTTTATGGCAGAAAAAATAATGTATATTATGAAGACTTGTTGAGGAAAATACAAAAGAGGCTTTTATCCTGGCAGAATAAATGGTTGTCATATGGGGGGCAAGTAATTCTTATTACTACTATATTACAGTCAATGCCAATATACCTTCTTTCAGCCATGAATCTGACAAAACGAGTCATTCATCAATTACATCAGCTGTTCGCAAGTTTTTTCTGGAGTAAGGCAGGAGGAAACAAAGGAAAACATTGGGTAGCCTGGGAAAGATTATGTTATCCCAAAACAGAAGGGGGAATAGGAGTGAGGTCGTTACATGATGTATCGAAGGCTCTATATAGTAAGTTATGGTGGAATTTCAGAACCTCTACTTCTTTATGGAGCAATTATATGTGGGCGAAATATTGTAAGAAACAACATCCAGTATTGGTCATGAATAGAGGGGCCTCTCATGCTTGGAAAAGAATGGTGGAGTTAAGAGAAGAAGTTGAACACAACATTTGGTGGCAACTCAAATCAGGCGAGATGAGTTTTTGGTTCGATAACTGGACAAAGCAAGGAGCGTTATATTTTTTAGAGGACCATACAGTAGGGGAGGAAGAGATAGAGGTGAAAAAGTTCATCACAAATGAAGGGTGGAATATTCAAAAATTAGGCCAAGTATTATCAGAAGAACTGGTGGAGTATATCACTAAATTCATTAATCCACATTTATTGGAGGAAGAGGATAAGCCTTGGTGGATGGGAATTACAAGTGGGGAATTCACAGTCAAATCAGTCTTTGATCTGCTGAGAAGTAGAAAGGAAAATGAGGAATGGAGGGGTAATATGTGGTGCAAACAAATCCCTTTTAAGATGAGTTTTCTATTATGGAGGATTTGGAGGGGAAGAATTGCACGGAGGAAAATCTAAAAAGAATGGGAATTACCATAGCATCGAGATGCTATTGTTGTGATGTTTTTGAAGAGGAGACTACACAACATCTTTTTCTAACGGCTCACATAGCCCAAAAGCTATGGAAGCAGTTTGCTTCATGTGCAGGTATTCAACAATAAGGAAATTTGAAACAAATGATAACAGAATGGTGGAAGCGTAACACTCCTATCAAAATACAATTCTTGTTCCAAGCAATACCAATCATTATTGTATGGGAATTGTGGAAAAGGAGAAGTGCAAGAAGACATGGAATGGATACAAGTTTTTTTAAGTTGAGAAATCAGTGTGTCAACACTATTATTCAGCTCATAAAAATGAAATATCCATGGATTAAAGTTCCTAGAGAATGGGAGGAGATAGTCAAAGTTCTTAGGGAGTACAAACCCAAATTGCATTACTGTACTGTGAGTTGGAGGAAACCTTATAGTGGGACATTAAAATGCAATACAGATGGAGTTAGTAGGGGGAACCCTGGGGAAAGTGCCTATGCTTTCTGTTTAAGGAACGACAAAGGTGATATTTTATATGCGGAGGCGGAGCGACTGGGGATCAGAACCAATATGGAGGCAGAAACTACAGCAATTATCAGAGCACTCAGGTATTGCAAAATAAGTAATTTCAAAAATTACATTATAGAAACAGATTCATTAAGTGTCACAAATATGGTGTGAAACAACTGGAAGGTCCCATGGCAGCAAGTAGAGGAAATACAGGAAATACAAGAGCTACTTACATCTACATTTGCACAGATTCAGCATGTTTTTCGCGAAGCTAATAAATTAACGGATAAATTGGCAAATGAAGCATGTGAGCAAATGAATGCAATACAAATTTACATATTTCAACAGCTATCAGTGGAATGTAGAGGAATTGTGAATATGGATAAAGCAGAAATCCCCTCACTAAGGATTAAAACAAGGAAGATAACAGTCCATGAAACACATCAAGGGAGGGAGCAAGAAATTAGCAGCAGAGCATAGTTATGCGAGATTTGAAGAAGGATTGCTGAGTTGGTTGACAGATTCAGATAGGAATCACATAATTTCCAATCAATAGATCTCAGGACTTGGCAGAGAAATCGACATGGAGTCCATTGCATCCACCGGAATATACCACTACAAAAGGAGAAGCGATCAGAAATGGAGATAGTAACTACAACAGAGAAATGAAGAGGAAGTAACACTTACTTTTGCGAACTGCGAACAAAGAGGGGGAAGAAGAGCAGGAGATAAACATAGATAACCCACAACATAAGGATAAGGAAGGAGACCTGAAAACTCCTGTGAAGAGCATATTGAAGAAAGAGGCGGTGGAGACAGTGAGGAAGCAATTAGGAAACTCTACCCTTCGGGCATCTTTTACACTACGCCTTTTCCATGTGAATTGGACCCATTAATTCATGCTTTTGTTTTCATTTGGGCCTATTATTTCAGGTCTTTGTTTGTAAATACTTTGATTTACTGAAATAAAGGAGCTTTTAGCTTCACCTATTAATTTTTTTTTTTAAAAAAAAAGGCAACCTCATATACCAAAAATTTAAATTTATAATAAGTGTTAACTACTCAGTAGCAATAAATGACAGAAATATAGATAAATCATTAGTATTATATTGGAAAATGTCAGGAATAGAACTAGCCCCGGAAAGTAAAATATTTACAGTCAGATGTAAAAACTTATATGTTTTAACAATAAAACATAAAATAACAGCAACAAATAAAATAAATAAAATAAAAATAGAA